AACTATGTCATGTTCACCAGTGTAACCTCAGTGCCTTTGCAGTCTGGGCATATGGCAACACTCAGAATAAGTCTGTTAAATACTACACGGATGGATGGTTACAGAAAACGGTGCATACTTAGAGGTTCTAAGGCAAATAGCAGAAAGAAAGAGACCAAAAAAGACAATTTAATCAAAAATAAAGTTGTAAAACACCCTAGATATTTTATTTCTAGGAAATAAAATATGTAGCAAGTGGGTCTGACATTTGTGGGAATATCCTTAGTGTGAGCACCTAAAAATTACTGAATGATCCTGTTAGTTGTCTGGTTTAAATATTAATTCTGAAATGGTTTATCTTTGTTATGATATTTCTATCAAGTAATCTACTAGCTGTGCTTTTGCTGGGCCTTCATACACTTTAAAAGAGTTGTGAACCAGAAAGAAAAGATGAAAGAGGTTACAGGACAAGGAGGAGAGTTTGCTGTTATATTTAAGGTCTGTTCTCTGATTTGTTGGTAGTTGCTATTATTAAACGGGGTATGAAATCAGGTGAGTAACTACCCACAGGTTCTCCTCTTAGGCAAACATCTAATTTAGAACATTCACATCAATAAGGTGAATCAAAAATCAGTTTTGTGCCTTGCAAATACACTACTACTACTACTTAACCCTTTGCAATGATTTCTGCACTGTCTTTCAGCAAATAAAAGCATAGTACAGAAAAATGTCTTAGGATGAAAAACAGTACCTTAATTGGTGAGACAGCGTGCAATCTATTGCTGAGAAGGCACAAAAGAAATCAGGGGTGGTGAAAATCAAAGAAAGTAGGGGAAGAAGTCCCTAATTTAAAAATGAGTAGGTCAATTTGTAGAACAGAGACTAAAATGCACAATTGAGATGAAACTGAATTTAATTAGATAATTTTCTGTGAATTATCTCCTAACTCAAAAAGTACAGGGTTGGAGCCTCACTATGCAACCTGATAAAAGTGGAAATTAGGCTCTAACAATGTAGTTTAAAGATCAGTGTGAGGGCTTATTCGACAATTATTTTCCTCAGGGTTTGCTAAGGTGCTGAAGCTTGTAATCGATGAACTAAATTCCCTCTGCAACTGCTAATGGGACAATCTTCATTAAGCAATTTTTGGTTAACACCTTGTATATGTTCCCAGTGAGAACCAGTTTTCCAATGGCCCTCATTAGCTGTCTAAAAACAACATTCACCTGTGCTCAATCTGTGCCCTACTTTTAAGCATGTCAAGAGCAAACCTGATCAAACAGCAGTCATTTATTGAGATCGTTCCATTACTTTTCTAAGAACACAGTAGTAACACAAAACCTTGATGGTGATGATGATTTTGGAAGGAAAGAGTTGTTTGTCCCTTACCCACACATGCATGCATATATATATATATATATATATATATATATATATATATATATATATATTTCTTTTAATTATGGCTCCCTTTGGTACTGTGCTAACATTTCATAAACAGCCTTGTGCATAGTTAGAATTTGTAAACACTGTTTTTGGAGAGTGATCACTTGATTACTCCCTGAGCTCAAAATTCTCCTTTAAACATCTGAGTCCACCAAAATAGAAAAAAGAAAAGTATCATGAAATCCTTTTGAAAATGTGTCAGAAACAGTCCCTGGCAGTGTAGTTGTGCCTGAATTACTATGCTGATAATTACTATTCTTCACCTCACGAGGTCTTTTAATATAAAAGGATTTGTTTTGTTATTGGACTTCAGCAGTAATCATTATTTCCTTCAAAACTGCTTTCATTTTTATAGGTAAATTACAGAAGTGACTTATAATTATATCAAAATGGAAATAATTTTCCTTCTGAAATGATTTTAGCCCTTTTTTAAAATTGAAGTCCAGGTGAAGACTCATAAAATATGAACTAATAAAATATCCATGCTATCTTTTTATCCCATTATGTCAGCTCATATTAATTAACCCTCTGGCAATTCTCTTTTCTTCCATTACAGTTTTTGACATGATGATATTGTTCTTTATATACATATGGATGTGAAAAAATGTGAAAAAACATTAAGAACTGTGGCAGATAGGAAAGGGTATTGTTTATGGCATAACAGAAAATATAATAGAATCAAAGGGGTTCTAAGAGGGAGATCCTTTTAATCACACTAACTAATCCAGAAAACAAGACAACCACTGCCAACATCACAGAAAGTAACAGGCAAAATTTTAGAAAGAAAAGTCATACTGGGTAGTAGCCAGGATTTGCATTTCTTCTAGAAAACATACATCATAGGAAGATAATTGTCTTTGTGATTTTTTGTTGCCATCACAGAACACCAGGGACTTGGTGAGTTATAAAGAATGGCAGTTTATGTTGGCTTGCAGCTCTACAGGATAGGAAGTCCAATAGTATAGTGCTGGCATCTTTTTGTCACTGGTGAGTGTTTCATGCTGCCTCAGCTCACGGGGAAAGTGGACAGGCAGTGGGCACATTCCAAAGACAGGAAACACTAGGGCTGTCTAACTTTAAAGCAACCTACATTTGTAGTAACTAATCTAGCCCCCTGCCAATAAGAACTTACTCCATCAAGAAAGGTATTGGGCTCTCTAACAACCTAATGATCTCTTGAACACTTTCAACACTCCCACAATGGAAACCAAATTTCACCATGAGTCTTGGAACGGATGAACCACATTCAAATCATAGCACCAATGTTCTTAAAAATATTGCCCTGGAAGTTGATGTATTCTAAGTATGAACTTTAAGCATTCACAGAGAATAAAAATTTTCTGAAATTATTTCACAAGGTAAATTTCAAGAGGAAGTAATCCATTAAAATCTATGGGTGGGATTGAACAGCGTGGAACAGAGGTGATCAAAAAATGTCATATTGATTAATAATTGATCTGCACGGACAAAGAATAGCTTGTGACTAACTGGGCTCACCAATTTTTGGGAAATAGATAACTGGAAGCTAAAAGAAGAACCACATGGTTTATTACTTGTAGTATAGCTACATCTGTGTCTATATTTAATAAGAATACAATTTACATATCATATAATGAACCATTACGTATGCTTACAATTAAGCTTAAATGTTTATTAAACTATATGACTTTAGAGCTATTTATGGACTGAGTAGTTTTTAATACCAAATTTTGCTGAATTCCCAAATGTCCTTTTCACATTTTAATATTTAAAAATACAGGAATATCTTATGGTTACTGTTAAAAGTAATGGCCAAGCTATTAGGAAGAAAAGCAAGTTGGGACATAATTGTTATATCTTGTGTATGAGCAAATTTAGTTATGCTAAGGAGATAACTGTCATCTGGTTTCTTCGGTAGTGCCAAATATGGATAAGTTGTGAAATGCTTACACATTTAATAGTCATTTTTAATGTCTTATGAAGACTGCAGTTACGTTAGGAGGCAGCACACACACACACACACACACACACACACACACAAAAGCCGTGTGCAGATAAATGTGTTTATATAAATGTAAATGAAATGAAAAAATTAAATATACTAAAAGATGGATCTGTGTTTTCTGGTAAAAATAATCAAATGTTTTATGGGACCAAAGCTGAGAAGAAGATATATACAAGGAAAACTATATTTGATTTGTCTTTTATGTTGTAGGAAATAAATTCACTGCTCACCTCAGACAATAAAATTAAAAGCACCAGAAAATGAAAAATATCTCAGAGTTGGTCAAAGAATTGTCAAAGCTCTGAGAGATTAATGTAAATTATTCACGCATTGTGACAGTGCTAAATGTCTACCTGTCAAAAGCTGCTGGCTTTCAAGAGAATTAAATACCTAGTGATATGTCACACAGTAAGCCAAAAATGATACAATTAATTAAATAGAAAATGCAGACAAATTCCCAGCACTATTTGGCATTGTTTAAAATTATTTTCAGTCTTAAAATGCTCACTAAGCAAACCAAGACACCAGCTGGTTAAAAAAAATAACCTCGAATCCCTGTATCACTACTGGACAGAAATGATTTAGAAGACTTTTGATACTCAACATGAAAAAGTCTTGCATTTGGACTTCCACTGAGATAATGAAAAAAAAAAACCCACTATACTCTTCTGGAAATACTTGCAATTATCCTTTATTATCCTTTTATTAAAAAGAGTTTTGTGTGCTTTCAAGGCAGATCTTTCGCTAACGCTATTACTCAATCAATGCTCTGTTATATAATGGCTGGTGTTTCAGAGTGAAACAAGCTTTTCATTTCTTTGTCAAGTCTCAGGCTACCATATCTCTTCAAGTGTTTTTACCTGGACTTGGGGTCCTCCTCTATGGACTCTCCTCTTGTCCTAGGCACAATCATGGAGTGGCGTAAATCAAGAGAGAGTAGATTATATCAAACCTCAGAGACTTTCACAACAAAGTTGTTTTTTTTTTGTTTTACTTTTTATGCTACCTGCCCAGTTTGGATTGGTGGAAATTCTGCTTCATGTTTTCTCACTCTGGGACCTGGGCTAATGAGGTGTGATTTATCATCATAATATTTAAGAATCACACAGGAAGCATTATAGTGGGTAAGTCAGGAGATGAGGATTTGCCTTACAGATTATTTTTGTTTGGTTTTGTTTTACAGTGGAGGGGAGGGAACTCAGGCCATGTGAATGCTAGGCAGTGCTCTACCTCTCAGCTATATCCCCAGCCCTGTTCCCAACACAGCAAGTGCCTAGAAGTAAGGAGAACTGGGACCTGATAAGCAGATAACGGTGACCTCTGTATGGTTTACTTCCTTCCCACACATGGAAGCGTAAGGCTTGGCTTGACTTTGGCTTTCCAATTGGCAGCAACATCTATACACACGCTGAATAACCTCTCATCACTATTTTATTATAAATCATTGCAAGGAGAGATGGTCAGGAGAGAAATGTAGGTGAAAGCTGGAGACTACCAAAGAAGCAAAAAAGGTGTGAGGTTCTAGAAAAACACATGAGTAATGTCTTCATTTTCTTTAGAGTTTGTTGTCTTGCAAATCGGTTTCACCTACCAGGCAAACTGAATGGTGATGGCTTCTTCAGCGCCATCTTAAGAAGTATTTGGAGACTGTGTCTATGCTAAATGGAAACAATGGAACTGATTAATAGTGTTTGGCATGGACCCAGAAGCAGACAGAAATATGCTTCTGCCATCCAATTATATTACTACTGAGTCATATTACATATCTTGTAGACACTATACAATTTGTTTTTCTCTTGCCTATCCAACAAGATTATAGCTTTGCAGATAGCATAATTCATAGTAGGTACCTACAAATTACTTATTGACTGAGTGGTTTTTTTTTTTGACAGTACTGGGGTTTGAACTCAGGGCCTCACATTTACTAGGCGCTTTACCGTCTGAGCCACTCTGCCAGCCTTGACTGAATACTTGTAAATAACATAGAAAACATGGGTGGTATACTTACCTAAAAGCAAATAAATCCCTTGGCAAATTACATTAGGTATCAAGCCATTTACACATTCTACAGAATCTCTGAGAATGTTCAATGAAAATAGTAATTTTCACAAAAGCTAGTATTTACAATAATGTTTAATGGTTATTGGTTCACTTAGCTCTGGTAGCTAGTAACTCATTATTAGCAATAATTAAGAAAAGTTAGTAACTTCAGATAGTAGACAATTAGATTTCCTTAACCAGGTCAGCAGGTCTTAAGGGGAGAGCTGAGTACCAGTTGTGCCGGTACTCACGATCCCACAAAGGCAAGGTTTACCATGATCCTAGTTCTAGGCCTGGTCCCGATCAGTTTAAGTGTTTGTTGCATGAGTAAATGAAAGACTGAAGGAACTGCCTAAATTGATGCTTCTTTGCAGGTATTTCCCATCTCAAGACTACCCTGCTTAATCTCTACAACTATAATTCTAAGCAAAAATTTGATAACAAATAGCATTGTCTTTGACAGGAAAAACTAGGTTAAACATCTAGTTACAGTCATAAAAGACTGGAAATAATGATAGAGTCAGGTTGTCAAATAAGGAATTTATAAATATTCTAACACATTTTATGCTTTGGAGATCATTTGAAATGTTTATCATGGACCCTTGGTCAATGAAATATATGTTAATTTTAGACAAACTTGCTTTCTCGTTATACCACTACAGTGGCAATGTAGAATATTTTTCAGATGAGTTACAAGGAACAGGTCTAATATTTAATAAAGGACAATATATACTAATGAATATTGAGAAAGATGACATCATATGTACAGCTATTGTTAAAAGGAACCTACTTGAGAACAACACAGTCTCACTGTAGATTTATGGGAAAAAATGACTAATTGTATACCAGCCTTGGTCTGGTTTCTCCAGGAGCCTGTATATTAATAATAATCACACAATTTGCTACATGAGTAGTGAGAAAAAATGATCCCAAATTTCTGGAACAAGATCCAAAGTAGTGGGTTGGAGGTGGAGCTCAATTTGTAGAGTGCCTGCCTAGCAAGCATGAGGCCCTGAGTTCAAACCCTAGTACCACCTTAAAAAAAAAATCCAAAGTAGTCCATGATTATATTAACATTTACTGAGATCTTACAGAGTGCTGAGTGAGACACTGAAGGTGGAAGAAAATCCATGCTGTCAACCTATATAAGTACTCTTAAGCAGAACAAAAGAGTTCTTGTGTCTTAGTTTTCTATTATTTTTGCAAAGGAAAAGGAAAAAAAATAAATAAAACTTTCTAGCCCCACGATATGAAGGTTTCAAACAGAGTCAGTGTATTTGTTGGTCCAAACTATTTTTACGCTTCTTTTTTATTTAATTCATAAGCTATGAGTCCCCACTTTTAACCACTATAAGAAGGTTTTTAAATAAGAATATAAACATTCTGAAACATACTCAATAAAACCCTAAGCTTTAAAATGCGCTAGTTACTAATCTTCTGAGAGGTTGTCACAGATGCTATAGTCTGACAAGCCAGAGTCTGAAACAAGATTCTCTTTTCTCTTGATTGACAAAATGCTCCTTGAAAAAGAAATGCAGATTTTGTGTATTCTCAAGAGGTCTCAGGTGTGAACAAAGCCACCTTTTAAGTTAGTCTGAGAAAAAGACCTATTTCAAAACTGAAGAACTATAGGTCATCTCTTTTTGTATTTTAGAAAAAAAGAAAGAAAGAAAAAGAAGACAGCATTGCCTTTGCATTTGGAATACAAAATAAGCATTTGAAAACACCTGTGCACATAAGAAAATCATCTATTTAACATTTTCCTTAAATAAAACAGTACATTCAAAAGCATGCTGTTCTAATGAGTATACGTTGCTACATTAGACTTAAAAACTACACCTTGAATAAACTAGGGTTTAAAACTGAATCAATTTAAAAATACCAGAATATCAGTATACATTAACTTCTCTGGAATGATATATTTCACCAAATTATGATATCACGTGGAAGTTTTGCATGTCTGACCAATTTACCTACTCACATATTTTCCATTTCTATTTTCACTTTTCGTTAAAAACAGTCCTAGGCAGTGCTTTCATGCATGTAAAGAGCACACATGGAAACCAAGCATTGAACACCAGCTGGTTTTTACTACCAATTTTATATTTGGGCTCCAGAGTTCAAAACTCCAATAGAAACACATTTTCTCTTGATTTATCAATTTTCAAAGCAAAGTATGAGCTTAAGAATGTCCTGTTGCCTGAGTCCTGCTACAATTCTGCACAAAGGGAGAGGCCTTCCTCATTATGTGCACAGCAGTATAAGTTTAATTAAACCACTGACTTATACACTAATTTTGTCTGCCAAGGAATAGAAATCCAAGCTAAAAGTGGCCTAAACCATATGGAAAACATGTTCTCTCACACAAAGCTTCAGAAGTAGAGTCTTGTACATTTGGCTAATGCAGGGCTTTGCGATGCAGTAGTGGGTTTTCCACCTTTTTGTTCTCCGTGGATATGCTGGCTTCTCTCTCCAGACCTTTCAGCAGCTCCAGTGATCTGCCTTTTGCAGGTTGGACTTAGAAGCCAAAATAAATAAATAATAAATAAATAAAGCTCTTCTTCCTATGAATCTCTTCTTAAGAAAGCACAACCTCTCTCACTTCCACCTCCAAGCAAGCTTTCTCTCTGGCCCACTGGGCAAGGTCTAGGGACATTCCTAGACCTATCCTAGTCCTGGCAAGGGAAATGGAGCTATTAGGCTCTCAGACTTACCCAGTGGATGCCTGGGGCTAGGAGTGTCCTGTGGTCCTGGTCCCTCGGGGTGAGCTCCAGCCAGAAAAGTTTGCACCAGTCATTGTATTCATGGGCCTCACACATCATGTTTGCTGTTGACATCCTGTTTCTGTCTCTCTTTCATGTCCCAAGTGTGGTCTACTAATAACCTTTGTCCTCCAGGCATTTCCAACTCTGCCTCTCCTTTTCAGATTGTGTTGGCTTTTCTTCTCATTCAATAGACTGTATAGCTTTAGTGTTGTTAATTAGGGTCTCTTTCTCCTACTAGATGTTGAAGTTCTTTGAGAGAAAGGGATGTGGATCTCCCCTTGTTTCCTTTCCTCCAGCTGCAGTGACCATACATGTTCTCCACTGCTCTGAGCTCTTCCCTGTTTCAGGACCTCCTCCCACGTGCACTGCAAAGAGTGCTCATTTTCTACTCATTACTAGGCAAATTCCTCTTTCCCCTTTAGGAGAACTCCTCTTTCCCCTATTTTTCCTTAAGCATACTTTATCCTTCATATTTTTTGTGTGGATTTTTTTGTTTCATGACTGGATCTTCCAGCAGTCCATAAGGTCCACAAGGTCAAAAGCTATGTTTGCTTTATTCAATATTATATATCCAACCCCTAGCACAGAGCTGACATATGATACAGCTCAATAGATGATTTCATCCTGAATCTCAACTACCTAACACAGTGCCTGGCACAGATGAGGCAGTAACATCTATGACAAAATTATGCAATAATGATTAGAGAGAAAAATTCCTTAAAGTAAACTAAATTCTAGCACATTATTACTTTCATCCGATTAACCATAAAATTTGAACATTTATTTAGTATTTATTTTGTGAAAAGTTCAGTGGTAGATGTTATGGGGGCAGAGATATATAACACATAGGTCTTAACAAAATACTGAGATGGAAGAATCAAACATACTTAATCCTGAATGTGAATGCCCCCAAATTGTGACTCTTTCTGAATTAGTGTTAAAAGAGTGTCATCTAAAATTATTAATATCTGTCCTGAGCATAGGGGATAAATGGTCAAACATAAGTGTAACCTTTGCCATTCTTATTATAGAAGAGCTAACATGAATGGATGTTTTTTCTTTAAAAATGTGTTTGAATGAAGTGTTCTCTACTACTTTGAAGCTTTGTGCCTTTGGTAAAAATCATCTAATCTAAGTGTCAGTTTCTTTATTTGCAAAATAGTGATAGCATTAACTTCTCCCTGGGGGTGCTATAAGGACCCTGAAAAATGTGGAAATGTTTTACCAAGTATGAAGCAGTTTAGAAATGTCACTAAGCTAAACAGACACACAGAAAAATAACACAAAGGAATAAATACCAAATGAATTTCCAAGCAGCAAACATTTTTTAGTTAAGAGAATGGAGAGGCAGTTTCTTAAAATGATTTATTGCTTCAGCAAACAGAAGTAACACACATAATAAAATGCAGAAATGGAGACATATATTTAATATTTTAAATTTGTCTTTCCTTGACACTATTTCTAGAAATGTTAGGCCCTAGAGCTTTTTCATTAATTTTTTTCTAATAAGTTTGAGATGACTGTGACTGTCTGACATAATACACTAAAAATACAAACTCCATAAAGTATGACTGGATTTTATCCATTTAATCTCTCCCAAAGTATTTCAAATAATTTATTGATCGTTTCTAAATTAAAATTAAAAAATTAAAAAATTTTAATCTAACAAGAATGAGACAATACCTATGATAAATCATATAAATATTAATAGTAATAATTATTTTATCACATCTGTATTTTGAACAGGTACCACAGACATACATATCAAGGAACACAGTAAGTGCTGTGAGACTACGTTCTAAAAGATAATGGAAAACATAATG